ATTCCCTCCCTAAAAAAGAATTGGAGTTGTCCTTGTGTTTTGCTTTAAATCCTGTGCATTTTAAATAGCTGTTGGTAGTGGCCGTACTCACCTTTAGATGCATGGCCCGGTGGCTTCTACAGGACGAGGCCAAAGGTTTGCAGAGCAGCAGCAAGGCGTTGTGACAAAGGGAGCCGAGTAAGGAGAGGAAATATAGAAAAGAAGAAGCATAGCGGACAAGAAAAAGCAAATGAAGAGACAGAAAACTGACAGGGAAGTTGAAGAGGCGCTTTTCCGTCTAAATGTCAGCGAGGAGGGCGAAGGCAATGGCAGCGAGGCAGAGCAGCCAGTTTAAGGGATCAGGGCTTGGGTGGAAGGTTAATTATTACACTTGCAGTCAATATTTAACAGGCCCAGCGCCCTGCCCTCAGTCCAACATCCTGATTCCACACCGAGAGGGTAGGGCCCGCGTCAAGTACATCTCTTTTGTCCCCTGCTCAAAATATGTATTCAACACCTCACATGGCCTGCAGGAAACATGCAGTGTGGTCTTTATGAAAAAAAGTTTTAAAAAGTTAAACTCAGCTTCCATGTCATAGTTCTTAAGACTTTTCATATTCTTTAGATGTATTTTGTAAATAGAAACTTACTCTAAGAATCATACTTGTCCAGGAAATCAGAGTTAACACTTCCTTTGCTTGTAAATGCAACGTGACAGGAGCATGAGTCCAATCTACATTTACTGCTTTATTTCTTACAACTGCACACATTTACTGGAAATGACTCAGGGATAAGAAGCAATCACACTGGTACAAGCAAAAGCTGTGGACGGTCAGTCACGTAAAAGTAACAGAACAATTGAAAAGTGATGTGTTTAAGATCGGGAGAGAGCATGAGGGTGCATAGTACTACTTTATAATGCTTATTAAGGATGTCACAAATACTTTACATTTCATTTAGCTGACCCCAAAGCAACTTAAAATAAGTGCAGTCGATCAAAAGGATACAAATCCCAAACACTGAGAATCCTGCAAGTACATTAGTTTCAAATAAGCCAAACAATTTACAATGAAACATATTTTATTTATGTATTTTAGTTGCGTAGATGCAGTGGAAACAGGTGGGGTTTTAGACTGTGACGTAAGATGTATATACTTGTCCCTATATTAATAAGGAACTCATAATAATCAGAGTAGGTATTTTGAGAGGGAAAAGATAACTTGTAAATGAAGTCATGGTAGGTGACCCTGAATAATAATCCTTAACTTTAGGGCACTGTAAAGTAACATGTGACATAAACCCCTGGTGATAAACTGTTTTACAATGACTAACACTTAGAGTTTGCAGTGGTTTGAAGGATATTTCACCCTGTGGGTTTAAATTGGTTTTTCATGTAGCCTGGATTTCTGTCACTGACTCATCTCAGCCTTGGAAAATATTATAATATGTTTAATATCTTATCTGGAGGAGTGCCTGGAAAATAAAAGAGATTTGATATGAAGTTTTATTGACAGATTCATAATGAAACAGAAAACAGATTGAACTGTTGTTCTAATGTTCCTGTTTTAAAGTCCTGACTCCTGACTGTGCAACTACATCACAAACTCCATAAAGGTAGATACCATAGATATTACAAAGAGTGAAATGTCCATGTTTCCTTCTAAGTTTTAGCATTTCTTACATGCCCCCTCTTGTATTCATATACTTGGGCTATCTTATCTTGACAAGTTCAAGGGGGTTGGTATGGAGTGCAGAGTCCAGTGTCTCTGAGAGAGGATATGTGCACAGCATTAATCTGCCGCTCAGATAAAGTCCCTTTGTTGCTCCTTTGAATCCACGGTGCCTAAGGTCACAATCATTTCTGCTGCAATTTAGATCAGATAACAACATCTATCTGCTGAGCATGAAATTATCTCGTGGACAAGGTCACATGCAGCGCTCAAATCTCATTGCACGATGTTCTAATTTCAGAAGTAATCGAGCGTATGGTTGATGTTTGTGTGCCTGTTGGGTTTTCTGAGCTCAATTTAACATTAAAACAATCTCTGTCACTTTTTTTCATTTGGTTTGTCTGGTAATTATGTTTAATTGTGAATACATGTGTGCAGAGTTTTGACGCTGCAAGGCTTTTTCATCCTTTATTGGCAGTTCTTACTTGCCATTTGTATATCTTTCCTCCTGTGTGGGAGATTTCAAAGATATTGTACGATAAAAGACCAGAGGTGGGAAAAGTACTCGGATCTTGAACTTAAGTAGTACCAGAGTGTAGAAATACTCTGTTACAAGTTAAAGTCCTGCATTCAAAGTGTTACTCAAGTAAACGTAATGGCATCAAAATATACCTAAAGTACCAAAAGTAGTCATTGCGCAGATTGATCCATTACAGAATAATATATATTATATATGTTGATTATAATAATTGATCATTAAAGTGTTCTCAAAGCTGGTAAAGGAGCAGCTAGTTTGAATGACTCTGTATACTGCAGGGTAGCTTGTGAATTTACTCCAGGTGGAACTAAAGTCTGATTTAAGACTTGATTATATTTCACGTCATTAATCCAAATCTGAGAAGTAACTAAAGATATTAAATAATTGTAGTGGAGTATAGTACAAAGTAGCATAAAATGGAAATACTCAAGTACCGCAGAACAGTACTTGAGTTAATTTACTATAGATACTTCCCACCTCTGTAAAAGACAGCTACAAAGATGTCTAATTTTGCAACATTCCAGCATGCTACTCTAAACACATTCCTTCATAAAAGCGGATCCTCCAATATCTGATGACTAATGTTTTTCGCAAAGAGCAAACAGGAGGGTTTTCTTTTTTTCATGTTTGGTTGGCTGGTTAGGATTTTCTAACCTTAAGTAAAGAAGAATAGAGAAGTGTATGGTAATATTTGAGTGATCCAACAACAGTGTTTTTATATTTTAATGTCAAGAATGTTGGTATTTGTTTTATGTGAAAACCGAACTTTCCTTAATTCTGGTGTTTTTCTTAAAGGTCCTATAAAAACACACATTTTCTATCACCTCATATACTACGAGTTATATGATCCCATATGAACAAGCAATTCTGACAAAGTTTCAACACGTTAGATATCTTCACTTGAGAGATGTCTCTTCCTGCTGTCTGGAGTGGGCGGAGCTTTTCGGACAATCTGATCAAGCCACACCCATTTTTCCTTATCAGGTAGATTCATTTTATCATCATGGTTATAATACTTTCCAAAGATAAAATCCACCATCTTTTATGAGGATAACCAATCAGCATTGACAGCAATTAAAGAAACACATTTTCCCGTGTTTTCCACATACACAGAGAAAGCTGAATTCTCCTGCTTGCATGCAGAGACACAGAAATTGGGCCTACAGTGCATTGCACTCAAGCCATATTGTAGGTTTGAAAAAATACAGTTCAACAATAGGTATCCTCGTCTATTAAAACCCTCTGTGCTCATATTTGTGGATGCTATTTCCCTACTGGAAATGTAGCTAGTTTGCATGAGTGAAGAGAACATTAAAGTTCAGATAAAAACCCCACAATAAGTCAACAGGTTTAGGCAGTTCTGCTTTTGCAGCAGTTCTGAGGGTAGAGACTAAGCTGAAATAGAGCACTGCAGGATTGAGTCCTCTACAGCATGTAGTTCTTCCTCTGGTCTAACTAGGTCACTGTCATGTCCAATGGGCGCTGATTCAGGAAGATTACACTGCTGCTACCCTGTATCTGCTTCCTTGGATGTCAAAATCTTGAATTTAACTAGATAAATAAATGTTTCAAAACAATTGCAAAAATAATGATTATCTAACTGATGATAGTGTAATTGATTGAGGGATTAAGGTCCATGATTCTTCAAATATTCAAAGTATATTATAATTGTCTGTGTTCGGTTAGTCACTGCAGCAGATTCTAAATATTAAGATGTAAAAAGTACTGTCAAACTGAGTTTTAGTTTGAGTAATTAGTCTTCTACTATGCAGGAGAGCATATGTAATTGAATCTGTTTGCAAACACAAGTAAGCACAATTTGTGTGTACTTAATATACTATACTTAAAATATATAACCTAACCTTCTGAAAAAAAACAAAACTGTCGAATTTACAAATGCGTTTTGAGAACTGCACTGCCCCCTGTCTTAAAACCATGGTACTGCAGATGTTAGTACCCCCCGTTTAACAGATTATTCTCCTCTCCAGAGAACAAGCGATTTATTAGATTAGGTTATTTCCATTTTATGCTACTTTGTACTTCTACTCCACTACAATTCAGATTTAAATTGTGTACTTTTATTACATTTACGAATGACCTTTAGTTAATTTGCAGATGTACATTAATGAAAAACAATATAATTAACACTTAAATTAGACTTTAGTTCCACCTGGAGACAATTCACAAGCTACCCTGGCCTGCAGTCATTAAAACTAGCTGCACCTTTACCAGCTTTGATAACACTTTAATGATCAATAATTATTATCAAAACATATAATATATATTATTCTGAATGGACCAATCGGCATAATGAGTATTTTTACTTTTGGTACTTTAAATATAATTTGATGCCAATACTTTCATACTTCTACTTAAGTACAAGATCCGAATACTCCTCCCACCTCTGGTCTTGTTTGTCATTTTTTAATAATCAACCTTTTTATCCTCATGCTTTAGAATGAATATCCTACTTATAAATCCCAAATGTTTTATTACACTAATTATAAAACCAAACGGAAGCAAATAATTAAACATTTGAAACAAATTAAACAAATCAATGTTGGGCAACACTTTTAAAAGAAAGTTCTTCTCTCAAAGTATCGGAACCTAACCTTACCACAGTGCAAATTGAGATCATCATAATATAAATGCAGTGTTTCCATTAAAGATTTGGGATAAACATTTGCAGTAAGAAATAGCAATGTAATACCAAACAATGTAGGGGACAAACAAATATGAATAGATTATTTGATGAGGAAATATTAAACACTGCATTCAGAGAAAAATAAACTGTTTATTCTTTAAAAACAGAATTTGAAAGTAAGACTTTATTTAGCTCTGGTCAGAGTGAAAACATTAAAAGGCTGTTCGATGTTGGATAAAGTACCCTGATTAAGACTCCTCTCTGATGGGAGTGCATCCAGAGAAGAAGCTGTTCTGAAAGCTGGTCAGGATTCTTTTCTTCTTCTTGAGGAAGCTGGCTGTTGTTCTGTCCTCCGTGTCCTCCTCCGTGACCTCCTCCTCCTCCTCCTCCTCTTCCTCTTCCTCTTCCTCTGGCAGGAGAGGCTTCCGTGCCAGCTTCAGGTCTGCAGTGGTGTGTCCCATGTCACCGAGTTCTTTTAGCACCTTTAAAGTGATAATAATAGTTAATAAGATAATACAAATACACAATAATGATACACTTGATTGGTATAGCACCTTCCAAGTGCTTCACAGCAGAGAATTGACATTGACAAAAGAGTCACAGAAAATGTATATCACATTAGTTTCAAATGAAAGACAACAAAATAGACATAAAATGAGCATAGAATATTAAATAGATTAACATTTAAGATAGTATAATAGTGCAAATTCACATTGTGATTACAACTGAAAATAATGGCAGCACTGGGTTGACCAAAGCAGGTGACAATGTAGGTGCATCAGAGCATTGAGAAGTCTTTGAAAGACTTCCAGCGAGCAGGCTTCCCTGATGTCTAAAGGCATTTTGTTTCATAGCTTTGGGGCATCATTGACGAGGGCTGCATCATCATCATCAATCTTGTTTTTGTGGCGTTTCTGGGAACCTCTAACAAACCAGCAGCAGATGATCGCAGTGTTCTAGGCTAATTAACCTGCAGATTAAAAAGGCTCAAAGTGAGACCAGAGGGCTTTTCTTTTTATTCTGTTGTGCCTGAAATGCCGTATGCTACTGAAGCAGCTGTTTTAGTAGTGGCCGGTTTAGAGGAGCGAGGAGTAAGCAGTCAATGATGGTACAAAACACGCAATACATTTGTATAACAGCAAACATCACAGACACTTGAGTATACTTTTATAAAAAGGCACATCATTCCGTGTATTGCCAAGTCTTCCTATTTGACCAGCTTTACCTTCTTAGTGGGTTTACAAGATGGCGGCTTGAAGAATGTGCTGTTGTCCGGGCTGAAGGAAGTGGGATCCTGAAGAGAGTCTTTGCGAACACTGTCTGCCTGACTTCCATCCTAAAATGATAATACCATTTTAGAAAAACGATGATTTCATGAAAACAATCAAAGCATTTTATTTACAATGAACAGAAGAAACATGTATGTGGCAAATGAATGCCAAATTACATATTAATCGTTTAAACTAGTATCAGGCTATTATGGTTTATTCAAGTATTTATTTTAATTGACTCAAATGTAATATTATTATTCTAAATTGGTGATGTAATAAATACTAGTATAATAATCCAGTAATTGTTATTAGGATTTTTTTACGAAATAACATTTTTTATAGAGGATATGTTTGGAAGTTTTATTTTCCATCGATGACCCTGAACTTCTGACTCAGTTTATCAATCCAGATTGGTTTTACTAAACACAGAAGCGCAGATTGTATTGTAAACAGTCCTATATACAAATAGTACATTTAACAAATATTTACGGATTGTTTCCCCTCTTTTGTAATTTATTTTTGAATATCTTATCATTAGATCATTTACCTCGGGATCCATATTTCGACACTTCTCACGGCCACACTGACAGTTCTCCCCGCAGCTCATCTTCCCTTTACGGCACCTGCATAACCGGTTACTGCAGCGACCTTTACACGCACACTGAACAAAGAGAAATAGCATTTCCATCACAAGTCACCAATCACACACACATAGTTTGCAGGTTCATTTCTAGCCTTCCTTTATAGAGAGATATAACAGGATGATGTGTTTAATGAACCTCTCAACTGAACCAAAAGTGGACTATTACTCACTACTCTGCTGTGGGATTGCATTTGATATCGTGGTTATGGTTTGTTCTTGCCCTGCAGGGTCTTTAAGCCGTGTCCAGAGTCAGCGTCTATAAACAAATAACCGTTTTGAAGATTAACCAAATAGTCTTACCCCCGTAGCTTTTGTTTTTTTTGAGGCTCTGCGGGTCCCAGCTTTCACAGGGCGCCACTCATCCTCACTCTGCTCATCGTCGGACGTCAGCTCGTCCATGTTGATGTCCATGTCCTGCTGCACCTTGGCTGTGGTGGTAAAGCGCCTCCCTTTGGGCTGACGGTGGAGGGAAAGCAAAGAGCAATAAACACACTTAGACCTTCAAATGAAGTTCTCTTTAAGATCATTCATATCTACATCTCATTTTATATCAAGATATTGTTTAAAGAATCATTGACTCTTGATATAAGATTGTATTTCATTTGAAACATTGGTCCAGGCTCAAACATGTTCACAGACTTTGGGGGAAATAACCTACATGAGCCAATTGACATTCAAAACCAAAGGATGGAAGACTCTCTTTCACGACTTACCTTTGGAGGAAGGTACTCAAACGAGTCGTCCGCATTGTTGGAACCGTTGGTGGCCGTAGGCATGAGGACCTTCTTATGACTGGCCAGGTTGAGCAAAGAGATTTTCTGCAGAAAAATAAAGTTTAGAAATAGAACAGTGAGGTTACATTCAAACAAGTCGTCATAATTAAGCCTTAATGGGGACACTATGGGGAAAAACACTTTTACAAAACAGAAAAAAGTATTTTCCCCCCCAGTTGATTTGAAGTCAACAATCTCATTAGTGTAGCATCCAATAGTAACTTGTATTCTACATTTATATTTTAACTTGACATTAAAAGAATAAAAGAATGGAAACAGATGGAAGACGATAATGTTAACATAAACAATACGGTTACCTGTTTACACTGCTCATTCTCCTCCAACAGCGCCTGGTGCTGCTCTCTTAATCCTCGTAGCTTTTCAAGCTCTTCTTCCTAAAATGATGTTACAAATAACAATATGATGAACGTTTTCTCCTAAAAGAAAGGTGAGTTAAAGTATGATCAAGCACTCTTCTTTTAGTGGAGACAAACCTGAATTTGGAGGCGCTGGAACAGCTCCTTCTCCTTCGCGCTCTCCTCTTCCTCCTTTGTTTCGGCCGACTCTTCACATATGGTTTTGTTCTTTATTTGGTTAAGGAGGTACAGGACCTGTACAAAGGAAGACAAACAGATGTATAGAACAGATATGTCCAAGTATGCATGTCTCTAAGATATATGAACATTGGAAAAGGAGTAAAGCACCTTCTCTTGATGCCTCTGCTCGAGCTCCACCATCTGCACCTGGTGCTCCATGTCCATGGTGGACATGACGCTCCTCTCGTCAGCCATGGTCTTCCTCAGGTCCTGAGCATTCCCCGCCTCCTGTTTTAGCTCGCTCTCCAGCTTGCCACTGGCGGTTTTCGCAGAAACCAGCTGAATGAAACGGGAACAGTTGATGTTTTTCAGAAACACAAACTCAACATATGAATAATATACATTACGATGTGATTTGAAATCATCTTTGAGTACTTGCTCACCTCAGACACGAGGAGCTTAAGGGCACACTTGGCATCCACTATGCTTGTAATGCAGTCGAAGCGCTGTTTCAGGCGCCCCTCGCTGTCGGCGACGAGGACTTTCCGCTGGAGGTCGGCTATCTGGGCATTCCTGTGAAGAGAGGAATCACTCTGAGCCATCGCTCATCGCTGGTCTTGACTGAAGAAATTCTTAGTCAACAAAATAAACTAACCCTCTCATAAGATTTTTTTTTTTTTTTTAAGAATGATGTTGTGCTAACGTATTTTGAAAAGAAATCCTTTAGCATAGCATAAAAAAGGACCAATAAAAAAAGTGACTGACTAGTCGTCTAAAAATCTAGTGTGGTTTGACAAAGTCACAAAATCTGTACAGGAATGACTGGAAACAAAAAGCACACATAACTTTTTATTGTGCATCATTTAATGTTGTGTAAATGACAATTGATAGGCAGGTGATTCAAGCTATAGTAAGGCAGAGTAGGATGAATGCTGGTCTTAACATGTTTGGAATATGTGAAATGCAGTGAGTGCAGGTTGTCAGACTCACCTGAGGGCCATCTCTGTCTCCAGGTTCTCTACCTGTTTGGTCAGAGGCGTCTCCAGCGCCCCATGGGTCTCCAGCTCAGAGATGATCAGGGTCCGGCGCTGCATGGAAGGGCATCGCAAAACAAGACATTGATTGATTTACTTTGATATGCAATGGATTCAGTTAAGTAGATTACTCAGTTTTGTGGATTCTTTTAATTAGTTTGCAGCCTGTAAATGAAACACTGGCGTGACGATGTCTCGCAAAAGCCAATCAGCCGTGAGAATCTCAGCCTGTTGTCAATGACGTTTTAGAATCAGAAAACCAAAAAACACCAGCCATTGGCTCGGGGCGACAGCACACAGAGTTCCATATATATGATCGGAAACTGGACAAAAATAAGTGTTTGTATAAAAACTACAAACTATGGACTGTCTATTTTAGGGATCTCCAACACTCGATAGACTCGGCGGCCGATTGATCGGAGCATCCCTAGATACAACGGTAGCTTAGTCTAGATCGATTCAATCTCCAATCAGAAACCTGTTTTTTGTCTGCAGTCTTTCAACAACACTTAATTCATGGTTTTTACTAACCGGTAACAGTATGTAAGTAGCGACCTGGCTCAGAAGGCCACAACAAAAAGGGTGACACAACACATTAACGGGTAGAAAAAGTTGTTTATTTGCACAAACACGTCAAAAATAGACACTGGATATACTCATCAGAGCCGGGTGCCTGCAGGAGAAAGCAGAGAGCACAGAGAGGAGCAGAGAGGAGCAGAGAGGCTCTAAATAGCTGGGCAGGACACCAGACCCAGGTGCCCTGAGTTACTGTAATCAAGGTGCCAATGCAGCACAGACAGAACAGCCACACCCTCTCTACTGATGCACCCACAGGGGCATCACAGATGTCCATGAAATTCAATATAAAACACTCAGTTTGATAAAGTTAAGAACACAGAGACCCACATCTTTGGACCATGAATGTTTCTTAATTTTGTGTTTGACGAGTACTAGTAATCTATTTAGAATGCCATGCATTTAATGTTATCTATCATGTTTAAAAGAAGAAAAACAGATTCCGAATTAAAATGTTCTTATTTTATACACCATCTTATTTATTACCATATTTGAGGAAAAAGAGACTGAACCATGAAATTGTTCCCAGTGGCCAGTCCAGCACCTTATGGTAGTTCAGCAGCCTTCTTTAGCAACTGGGTGAGTGTGTGGGTGAATATTTAAAGTGATTCTATCCACCCATCGTGTAGGCAGCAGAGGGGTCAGGAGGCTGTCATCTGGTTGATACAGGCCCCGGTGAAGACCACGATGCCGCAGACCACAAAGAATGTGAGCCGGAACTGCATGGTCCTTGCAGAAGACATAAACTTCTGCAAGTTCCTGCAAGTAAACATTCCTGCTCCACTTCATCAATATTTGTTTTCTTACAGGAATAGTCTAAAACGGTTGATAGTAGAAAAACATGAATTATGCAGAATCAATCATTTTATATTTTCCGTTTCACAAATCAATGGTAATTTGTTACAGTAATAATGCTACAAAGTTTGCAATAAGAATCAGTCTGATGACATCGGCACCAATAGTTACCTTGGCAAAGCCAACATCTGCTTTCTGGAGGGCAGGGCCATCATTTGTTCCATCTCCAGTTACCGCGACAACCTGCCTCTTCTCCAGCACAGTGCTGTCGATGATACCTGAGTAATGATGAACAGACACAGCTTAGACACACTTAAGGGCAAAAATAATGATGAAGATGTAACTCTGATAGTCTTTGAAAACAGCTAGAACACAGCTGTTCTCTGTTGTTTTGAGCCCCTTCTTTCAGCATTTTTTTATCTATTTCTTAAATGTAGGGTGGGGTTTCTTCTTAATTTGTATATATGCTTACATTAAAATTCATGAGCAGTGAAAAGTGTTTTCATGCAGAGACCAAACTGAGACTAAAACCCAGTTTTTCTCATGAGATGACGATGAGTTATCAATGGAGTGTCTACATTGATCTTCAAAAGGGAAGAGGACCACCGCTGTATGTGAGTGGGAGGACTGGGAGGTCATTGTTTCACCACTCATAGAACTCATGATGTATGGTAGTTTTTTGACAGTTGTGATTTGTATTATTAGACTAAAGGAGAGAGATACATGTGTGCATGTGTGTCTAAGTTTTATGTGCACAGATAATCATGTATTTAAGTTATTAAGGTTACAAACTGTAATAGAAGGCTAAACAATGATATGATTTAATATAATCAGTACCTGCTTTGCCGATCTGCATGGTCAGTTTGTTCAGCTTCAACTGGAGGACTGACTTTGTCTTCGTTGATTGATTTTTCTTCTTTTCTGGTTGTCCTTCCTCGTTGAGCGACTGCATGTCCATCACAACGTCATCATCGTTTTGTCCTACAGGATAGGAA